AAAAAAGAAAACTTCTCTTTATAAAACATTAAAGTCTGTTATACGATTCTAACTTACCATTTCTCTTCGTATATAAGATACACGATGGAACGCGCAAGTTCTTTAGCATAAATGCAAAAGACACGTTCAAAGTAATGCGACATATACGTCGATGTCACGTAGGACGGTACGCATTCGAAAGATGCAAAGCGTTCGCGAATGCATGTTCGAACGTGCCTTAACTGGTTCTTCCACTTTAGCCGAGCAGTCGGAGATCGTGCAACGGAACCACGAGTGGCACCTTTGAAATTACATCCAAGCACGGAGAACTTAAAGGAGATGCATTTGAAGAAGATCAAGCCGAAGCCGGAAACAAGACCGATACTTCAGAGTTTGAGGGAAGGCCTGGAGCAACTGAAAAAGACTACTGTTAGGGAAAGAAGCCGGACGAGGCAGAATTCTGGAAATGGTTTTCTAGAGAGGATCTCTAAGCTTGCTCAAGGTGGTCGTAACAGAAATCCCGCTAAGAAATCAGCGTCGTTCACATTCGCTGTTAGACCCGAAGTCGCTATGAAGTCTCAGGAACGCTACTCCAGTTTGGAGCCAGAAACTACCTCTCGACAGAGTCGCGCGGACTCTTCTAAACAACCTGTACAAAGATCGGTATCGACCAGTGTCTTAGAGGTTCCACCAACGAACATCGAACTTCAACCGAATTATTCTCGCGTCCGTGACAGCCTGACACCTCTTCCGCCAGTTCCACAACTGACGAAGCCCAAAGCCGATGAGATTTACGCCGAGATATGCGACAATAACACGACTGTCCAGATACAAAACTGTCCTGGAAGTCACGTCATGGCTAGCATTAAGATTATCGTAAAGGGTAATGACGCTCCGTTGGAAGAACAAAATCCAATCCGCAAGAATAGATATATCAATTCGATAATAATTAATGATCAGATCGATTCAATTATCAGCACAGAGGACGAAGTTATTTACAATACGATATTTTGAACAGATTGGATTACGATTTATCTATTTCAATTATTTTTTTTCTGGAGCCATGAGAAATACCATGTAGAAAATAGAGATGGGCTGTGCTTCGTGATCGATATCGCACCGATCGTACTTCTCTCGTAGTTATTCTTTTTCAATTTGTATTATATTTAAGTAAGGACAATTTTTTCGAATAAGTATGCGTAAGTTTAGTTACGAGTCTAATATACTTTGTACATATCTTCTGCCACATGTATTAACTGTAAGAAGGTTACGTACGCGCGCATATTAAAACTGCAGATCGCTCGATGTAATTAATAAATAAAAAAAAAAAAAAAAAAAAAAAAAAAAAAAAACAAAAAAAAAACAAAAAACAAAAAAAAACAAAAAAATATGACTGTAATTCATGGATGATAAAGCTGAAATAACACCATTTACAAATAATCTTTTTATCACCTTTTAAGGACGACAAAAATAAATGTATGTTTTTGATGTCCCTTCCCTTTTTCTTTTTTATTAACCTTTGTACATTAAATTTATTTCGAATTTTATACTTTTCTTTTCTTTATTGGTCTTTTCCTCTTTAAAGAAACTACGATCTTATTCGTCGTTTTTTTTGAATTCTCTTCTAAAACTTTTTTCATTATATCAATTGCTTTTGAATAGCCTTGATTTAAATTGTAATCTGTATTAGTATCCGGATATCTTCCAGAAAATCCTTTCGGAACTAATGGTTTTGATAAGAGAGATGCTAATTGATATCTTTTTGCTTTTAACGAACGTCGTAAATCTGCTATTTCCTTTGATTTCATTGTTGTTTCTCTAAAATGAAATACAGAAAAGATCAATAAAATAAAATTAAAAAAAGCATTAGTAAATATGAAAACAATATTACTGCTGATCTTCATCCAAAATGATATCCATATCTTCTACTGCTTTTTGTAACCATCCTTTATGCACATTATTTCTTTTGCATTTTAATACTAAATTATCTATTTCTCTAGCAATATCGACCCTTTCCTTTACAGCTATTAACAGTCTGTCTATCACTGGAAATGTAGGTATATCTTCAGCTAAAAGACAAAAATAAAAGATCATATTTCAAAGAGTAGTCAAAATAATAATTAATGATAATCGTAGACTTACTTCGTCCTAAAGTTTTGCACAATTTACTATAATTCTGTTTTTCTGATGGTTCCATCATAAGAATTGTTATTCCTTCTTTTTGAGCTCGCGCGGTTCTACCACTTCTATGTATATAACTCTAAAAATTTATTGTTAAGACAATGCATAATGGAGTATAAATTATTGTTCAAGTAATACATACCTCAGATGTTCTAGGAACTTGGTAATGTATTACATGTTCAACGTTAGGAATATCTAATCCCCTTGCAGCTACATCTGTTGCTATCAATATACCATTCTCATCACCCTGGAATCTGAATTATTTTTTTTTATAACTATAGGTCATTAAAAATCATTTATAATCTTTTACCTTTCAAGATTTTTTAAACGTTGTCTTTGTTGCATGTTAGCATGTAAAGGTAAAGGATTACATTCTAGTACTTTAAAAAGAGTAGCCAAACGTTTAACACAGCCAACACTGTTACAAAAGACTAAAGTTCGTCCACTGTGTCTTTTTAAGAAATAATAAAGGTAATAATCTTTGTGATCTATTGTACATGCAATTCTACATTCTGTCAAACTTGTAGCAGTACCTGGGCATAAAAATTAATACTATAATTTGTTTTTTAATAAGAAATGTGTCAAGTTAATAATTTACTTACCAGTTTCCTTTGTAATGTCCACTATTTTTGGATTCTTTATTTTTAACATGTCTATGATTTTTTGTAATTTTTGACCGGGTGTAAGTTTAAATATTTTACTTTTTCCAAATCTTTTCTTTTTTCTTTGTAAATAATCAGGAATATCATGAACCAAAGTTAATGTAGCAGAAAATACAAAAGTTTGTCTTTCCTTTGACTTCTTTTCATTTGCATTAATTCTTTCTATTATATTCTGTAATTCTTGAAAATGTCCTTTTTCTAACATTCTATCAGTTTCATCGATTGCTAAATACCTGATATATACACATACATTTTTATTATTTTCTTATTAAAATCATTATATTAGAAAAAAAAACGATCGTGTTAGTATTAAGTTTATTATATTTATACACATACTTAATAGAACTCAATTGATTCAGATGCACATTACCAAGTTGTATCAATTCCCATAACCTTCCTGGAGTGGCAATTACTATTTCAGGTCCTTTACTTAAAAGTCTTTCTTGTTTAACAGCAGCCATGCCACCTACTACAACTGCTATCTATATAAAAGAAGATTCATCTTAATAAATAATATTAAACAGATTGATTTTTAATATAATTTTCATTACCTTTATAACAGTATATTTCGCTGCTTTAACAAGATGATCTTTTATTTGAATAGCTAATTCTCTTGTTGGCGTTAATATCAATGCATACAATGGTTTTGTTAAAGAATTTCTTTTATCCTCTATTTTTATATTATCTATTACACGTACACATCCAATTCCATCAATGTTAATATTTTCCTCTAATTCTTCCTCACTCAAATTATAATTCTCATCCTTATCAGAATCTTTAACATATTTATATGTGAAATAAATAATACTATATCCACATTAAGTCAAAAAATAGATATATATTCTTACCATCTTCATCATTGAAATGTTCCAATTCTTCGTCTTCACTTTCATCTTGTAATTGATCTTGTTTTTGTTTTAGATGTTTATTCTTTAATTCTAATATACCATTTAAAATGGGAATACCAAAAGCTAAAGTTTTTCCACTGCCTGTTTCAGCAGCTCCAAGAATATCTCTATGTCCTAATATTGCTGGCGGCAAAGTTAAAGATTGTATAATTGTAGGAGTATGAAATTTTTGATCTAACAAAGCTCTTATTATCTCATTCGGTGCACCAAGAGCACTCCACGCAGAAGCATTAACATCTATTATATCGCTTTCATTATGATCAGTCCTATTATCTTTATTTTCATGTAAACTTATAATATTGTCAGACTTTGATGGATTTGATTTTGTATTTAATTCTTTAATTTTAGCTTTCTTTGCTCGAGGTTCTATATCTTTATTATTTACAATTTTCTCTACTATATCATCACATTGCCATTTAGATACTGACTAGATGAAATATATATAAAAATTATGTTATTAATAGAGCAAAAAGATTCGATAAGATATTTTTCTAATTTTTCCATAATTACAAAACGTTAAAAACAAAAAAGAATTACCTTACTTCTCTTCTTAGACTTATTTGTAGTTACAACAATTTTTTCTTTGCTATTGGATTTTTCTAAACTATAATCAGTTAATTCTTCTATACCGATTAAACCATTAGCATATCCATCAGAAAATACTGCACCATCTAATTTGAATGGTTTCCATTCATCAAATCCAACGTGTTTTAGTTTTGTCATTTTCTTAAACACTTGCAATAATTACTGTTAATAAATTGTTATAATTATTTTTATAGAAAAGAAACATAACCTTACTATTGTCAAAACAATGCTAAACACGTACATGCAGTAAACTCGATAATTTCGATTATCGAGACATATCGAAAGTTAAGTTAAATGATAGGTTATAAAAATCTTCCATTATTGCGATTATAGATATCGAATTTTAAAAACACTGCTTGTTTTTATTCACCAATCGAATACAATTACTGTAAAATGATTTATCAAAATTGTTTATAACTTTCTGTTTGTATAAAGAGAAACCTTTATGTCAACACAAATGCTTTGAAATATATATATATATATATATATATATATATATATATATATATATATATATTTATATATACATAATTCCGTTTCAGGTTAAAATTTTTCATTTTACAGTAAAATAAATAATGCGTGTAGATTATTAACAAATTTTCTTACAAATAATTATTCTGGTTTTTCTTTCTATACTCTTTTTTAAGTACAATAACAATTATATGCTATTTACTTATTTACTTATTATATTATTACAAGTCATTTGTGTATACTTGCGGAAGGTCAGAACATTTCGCAAAGGAAAGAGAAACTCGTATATTCATAATATAATGGTTGATACACGTAGATACGAAATCAAGTCGTATTTAATCTGCGTTTGGGATAAAACTCATGAATTTCATTTTATTTAATTACTACGATGTATAAAAAGGCAAATAAAGTGATTAGTACTCCCATTGAAAGTGAATTTCCAAATAGTTCATTGTCAATTTCGGACATAAAGGAAAACTCGTCGGACGGTGTAAAGCAAGTAAATACAACTGGTATTAAGAGAATTGCATCTAATAATATTATTAACAAGAAGAAAATCAAATGTAAACGAAAAGTTAGAAAATTGTATAAGAGAGTTGCGGATTATAATAAAAAAGGAAGAAAATTAATCGTATCGGAAACCTCCGATAGCGAATGGGAAATAAGATCTACAGATACTAATTCGAATAAAAAAGATTTATCGAAATTATTACAAACGAAAGATACAAATATACAAGATCAACAAGAAATTCCATATAAATTATACGAAACTCCGGAACGTATACGTGATGCTAAATATGACGATCATAATGATTTCTTACTCTCACCAACTTTATTCTCTCTAAGATCAAATAATAATTTTCCGATTAAAGATATCGTCGATAAAGAAGATGATCTAGTGTTTTTGGATCAAGATAAAGAAGAAATTGATCATATCTCTCCTATTTTCGGTATGGAAACTATTCGAAATTATGAAAACAGTTTTTTTTTTAGTACATCTGCAAATTGATAAGTTTCCTTTTTATGCTCTTTATTATTAATTGTTATTAGTGAGATCGAATCATGTTAAGACGTATCCATCGAAGAGGCAAAAAACATCGACGAAAAAATTATTAGAAAATAAAGAAAATGGAAATTGGCTCCTAGATGTTCGAATACCAACGAATAGTGCCGATTTATTATGGGATAAATATATAAAAGAGCATTCCGATGAATTCTCTCAACATTTTCGATCTAGCGATATCCATAAGACTGATACAGAAAAGATTGATACACAAAGTGACACTGGTAAGTTTTAACCGATATCTCGATATTTCTCGATATTTCTTACAAATTTACATGCGAAATAAATATTTTTTCAATTTATCCTGGCTTTTTTAAGTATTATATTTTTTGTTTTTTGTAATGGCGAACTCTATTTATGTAATCTTCGTTCATATAAATCAAGGAATCAGTATATATATACTCTACAATAGAAGAACATTACTTTATCTTCTTAAACACAGATTTCAGCGACATTTTGAATATGCTTGATGGACAGAGATTGAAATTATTGAAATCCAAAGAATTGTCTAGAATCAAGGGAAGTTTCAATAAAAGAACAGGTTTGTTGAAAACAAACAATGATAAGATTATTTACGTATCGGACAATGAAAATGATTTGAAATCCTGTAAATCAAAATGGCGAAGGGGAAGATGGATTAAGAAAAAGGAAAAATTTATTTACAGTTCAAGTGATAGTACGGATTGTGAAATACAAAAAAAAAATGGTAAATTAATATCATTTAACAAATTTAACACGAAGCTTAAAATGAATAAATTTAATTATAAGAGATCTCTTTCGTCTCGAAATAAAAACGACGTATGTGCTTGCTTATCTTCGTTGTCCACAATGTCAAAAGACAATCCTAAAGTTAAAATTAAATCGATGGTATCTTTAAAATCCATACATTACAAAAAACAATCAAGCGGTAATTATTATATTACGACTATGGAGTCTTCATCACCGTAAAATCAAAATTTATTTATATTTATTTCTCTTTATCTGTTCTACTTATTATTTATATTTCTTTATTTATGTTTCCTTATTATTTTATTATACTTATATACATTAAATGTATCACAAGTATCGTAATATATCAAATAATGCCTGTATGTCATTGAATCGAGGAAGATTATGTTTATTGTATTTGGAAAAATAATATAAATTCTAATTTATATTTTGCTTGCTTTGAATCATGTATCAAATTATTATATTTTCAATCATGTCAATTGAAGCATGTATGAAAAGAAAAGTTATTTGTGTATCGTTTAATACATATATAAATAAAAATGTGATTTATTTCATTTATATCATTTAAGCACAAAATAGCACACTTCTTTTTTAAATTTACAATGATTTATTTTGATTTAGAACTATCAGGATTTATAGATGTCAAAATGTTTTCTGTTGATTGCGTTGAAATTTGTTTAATATCTCCTTCGATAGATTCTTCATTTTTTATGTTACATTTTTCTTCTTTGACATTATTCTCTATTATTTCCTTAGTTTCAGTTATTTCTATCTTCTGGATTGACGTAGTAACAATTTTTTCCGTCGAATTTTCAGAATTTGTAGAAATTTTATCAGGGTTTAAAATATTTTGCGCAGTAGGCAAAGGTAGTTTAGATACAATAGAAGCTTTTAAACTTGCAGTAGGTGGTAGTAAAAACAGTATGGGCTCTAATATACTTTTATAATCCAAATATGTAATGCCCTGTAATTAAATATTATAGATAACACTATTCATCTTATATTTATTTTATACTAAGAAACAGAAATCTATAGCAAATATTTTATATGTATATACCTCTTGCTGTAGTACGATTTCTGAAATTCCTAAATGCATTGACACTTGATTTGATGGAAAAATAGCATGTATACAATACTGTACATAAGGAATTAAATATTCGCTTAAGCATTCTGCAAATTTAATCATATTATCTCGCTCTATAGTAGCAAACGCCTATAGAAAAAATATTCGATCTTAATAAAATGGAAAGGACATACGTAGAAAAATGTATTTACCATAATATACCTGTTGTTCTTGTTTATAAAAAACTAACATCGCTTTAGCTACAGAGTGGAGTGATTCTTGTAAAAGTTTAGTGCACATAGTGGACACTGCAACTGGTGCACATAATCTGAGTTCGTTAAATGCAGAAAGTAATCCATTACAATATTCAGCTAATGGATAAAATTCTACAAGTTGTTCTGGTGGAATTTCCTACCACATAATATAATATTTAGATGTACATTTTTTAATATATATAAGAACAATTAAATTCATAAATGAATGATATACATACAGATTTAACTGCAGTTTCAGACTTAATATCATTTCTTTGTGGTTTATTAATTAATGTAAACGTCTCCATATCTTTTTCAAATTTTCTTGTTGTTCTTCTAATAGCTAATTCAAATCTGTCTCCTATTACTCTTGCAAATATATCAGACATTCGTCCTGTAAAATCAGCACCTACTCTTCCAAACGATAAACCAAAATATGTACACTGACCCAAAATGGAATCTATAGATGTTACACCTGGTAAATCTTGTTCTAATGTTGTAAGGAACTGTGTTATCTACGATAATAATAATAATAATAATAATAATAATAATAATAATAATAATAATAATAATAATAATAATAATAACAATAATAATGATAGAAAGTTAAGTTTTACGATTAGGAAATTAATAAGCTAAAGATGATACCTTTTCATCTAACCAATGATAAAATATAGCCGATTCATTTACATTTGGATCTCTACCAGGCATTATCAGTTCATCATCGTTGAACATAGCCCTATATTGCGTTATAATATTAAACAAATGTATCCTGGATAACTCTATAGTTTTCGTTATATGAAGATTAGCTAAAAAGGTTAATACAACTTGCTGTCAAATATTGATTATTTGTAAATAAATAAATAAATATATATATATATATATAACATAGAGAACTTACAATCTTCTTTTGGAATACCATTCAAAAGACTTTGCAACCAACTATCGCGTGCTTGAAGAAATTTTATACGAAGCTCAGGTTCTGTAAAAGCATCCATGGAACGTAAAAGTCCTACTAGTTGCAAACATCTTGGAAGCGGCAAATCTCCTCTAAGTGATCCAACAACTTGTCCAACCATTCCAGACCAACTACTTTCAATTTCTGCTACTATAGACTATATGATTATTTAACAAAGTGTATCATTCTTCATTCTTTTTTGATATACATTTGTTATATGTTACATACTGCTATAATTGGAATATCACCATGCTTAGCCCCTAACTGGCGTGCATATTGAGAAAGTTCTAATGCCTCATTATATTGATTACTTCTTAAACAAGATTCCATTAATTGTGGCATCTCTAAGACCTCGAGTAATTCAGCATTTCTCGTTAATGTTAAACTATTTATTCTTCTACGTGTACTGATATCTTTAGAGGTATCACAAAATGTTTGGCACTTCTCCACAAATTCTGGAATTTTTTGCACCAGCCTATCGAGACGTATTTCGGTCTCATTAAACTGGAAACGACAAAATGATTGATCAATTATCATATTAAATAAAAAAACAAAAAAGATTATATATTTCATATTATTACCTCCTTAAATATTTCTCTAGAACTCTCTGCAGTTTGTATAAAAGTTTTATAATTTCCAAATACCAATTCTTGAGTAGTTTCTAATACTGACTTTCTTTCATCTAATAAATGATCAGGTTCTTTTGCTATAATTTAAAAGGTATTGTTAATATTGCAAAAAATTTATTGGATAATTCATATATAATAAAAAACTGTTTATATCGTCAATATAATTAGATGTTAAAGTAAAACTTACTTAATTGATCAACATCAAATCCACCAAGTTTTGACAGATATTGACCAAAGTCTGAATTTTCCTTCCATGGTTCTATAATAAGTCATAAAAAATATAAAAAATCAAAGAGACTTATGAAACTTCTTTCTATTCTTTCTTGTATAAAATATAAATGTGTCAATGATATGTATGTTATATCTATTACGTTTATAAGTAATATTAACATGTTACAAAAAATAAAATTTTCCAATGATTTACCTGGTATTCCTTCAGGAAATACAAGATTTATTACTTTCTCAGTATCTAAATCCATATTTTATTTTATGACAGCTTTATTTATTCATAGTATTATAAAAATTACTTTTTCCCGAATATGCACACGTTTTACAACCTATTGTCATTTCTTAGCGAACTAGAACTTACACGTACTATCGTCTATGGGCAAAAAGACGAATCAAATATAATTTCCTACATTACCATCATATGCAATTAGCTTTACATACATCGCTTAAAAGGCATTGCAGTTTTTTCCTTTTTCACAAAGTAAATATATCAATGTATCATGAGGTAAATGTTTAATTCAACATATTTACCATAACCTCAGAAAATTTTAATTTTCTTCACAAAGCCTAGATGGAACTAGTGTTGGCAATGATCATGACCTCTTTATTAACCTTATATTTGTTTAATTATAATTTAACTATCAAGTTTAGAGTTTACAAAGTTAACATGCATTTTCAAAAATCAGACGTTCGATAGAATTTATAAATTAATTATTAAAATTTATATGGTAAATGTTAATGGTTATTATTAATATTTATTAAAAATAGAATCAATGAGTGAATGACAGCTATCATAGATCCTCATACATATGTTTGTGTAATATACGTATATATGTTATATTTAAACGATTTATTACAAGGATATTTATCAGCCTTTTTTGCTTTCATAGCGTAAGCATAATTTTGCAGATCCTTTGAGCGATATAAGATGTCCTTATTCCGAGGGCCTCGAGTGCTTCCATTTATAAAGATATAACGTCAGGCACTCTATCGGTAAGAAAATCCGCTTATTCTTACGACGCAGATTTCGTCGTTTGGAAGAGCTTTGGGAAAGCTTCCTTAAGTGGTTATGGCGCTTTGCTTTTGTAGACCTTCGATTTTTGGAGATTTTTGAAGATTTTTTTTGAGAAAACCATAAGAAAATATATCTTATTTTCATTTCTTTTCTTTTTTTCTTGAAAACTATCTCAAGTTTATGAGAAACATGATTTAAGGTCAAGAGATTTCGTATCGTTAATCCCTCAATTAAAATTTATTTTCGTTTCTTTCTTTCTCCTTTTTTTTGATAAAAGTAAAAGTATATATTATATTTAATGTTAATTTTGTGAAAATCTTTTAGAAGATTTTTTTGAAGACCGAGATTGATGTAGGAAGAAATTTCAAGTCTACGATACGATTAGGCAACATAGTAGAAACGGCGGCGGCTCTATTAGTTACCCTCTGTCTCGGAACGACCTCCTTCCACCGACCTCCGAAACAACATTAAAATTACCACCGAAATTCAATTCCCAGTTGGAAACGTATCGTGATGAACTCGTGTAAGTCATACTAGTACACATCGACAAAGACTTTACGTAGATCGCGTGGCAGGGACGGACTCGTCGGTCGCCATCTTAAATTTGCGTCATCTTGATGGTCTTTTCTCATAAATTAAGATGAATATTAACTGTAACAAAAAAAAAAAAAAAATAAAAAAAGATAAACAATAAAAAGAAAAAGAAAAGAAGAGAGAAAAGAGAAAGAGAAAAGAAAAATAAAAGAGAAAAAAGGAAAGAAAATCAAATCATATTTTTGGAAAAGTATAAATTTGATCGTGTCGGAAAAGAAAGAAGACATTGTTTAGAAGTTAAATAATATATCATCGATAATAATCATTATATAAATGAAACGAGAAAAAAGAAAATAGAGTGATTACGAGAGGGGATGAATGATGACACGTCCCTGGTTAAGATACAGTATACCTTGCGAGAAAGTGCATATACATGCACGACATACAAAGGAGAATAACACGTACATTTCCTCGTTCGTAACATGCATATACATATACACATCATATACATATACACATACATATACATATAGACGGTGGGAGCAACGAATAGCTTAGGTTGGTGGTTAGTTAGCGTGCAAGTACACGTATCAAAGGCACTCAGAATCCGAGCTTAACAAAGCCAGCTTTGGGTTTACCAACCGTGTCACGTAGTACGTGTATACCTTACCTGCTCACGCTTCGCAAAACCTAGAACCCCATCCCCCAGCTAAAGCAACGCGAACACCCCGCGATCCCTCTAACTTTGCCCTTAATACGTCAACGAGGAGGGATAAGTTTCGGCAGAGGCAATTAAAACTAATTATTCTC